TCCCTAGCTAGCCCAATAGCATCTTGACCTTGCCCTGATGATTCCCACAACCGTATGGCCGTAATAATGTATATTAAAAGATAAAATAAAAAGCTAAACCAGCGTTAATGCTCCTGCCTGTAGCTGTAGGAGTGTAGGCCCTCCTGATGTTGGAGTAACCTTATTAACAAGAATATGCACAGCACAGCAACAGACTGAATGCTTTGGTTCGTGATGTCCAACGATCCAATGTCCCCTCTATCGATTTCAAGTTAGTGTGTTAGCTGGTTGAGGTTATATACCAATAATACTCCAAACAATTCGACCACGTTGCTCCATCATTACCAGTAGAGTTAGTTTTGCTGGGATATCTGCATCTGACACCTGGCAAAACAAGATATGTCTTCTGTCCTCCATCTTCTCTTTTTCTTTTTTTTTAATTTTCAATTTGAAAACATTAAAAAATTGTACAGAAAAGCAGGGAGGCTGCTGGAGGAGGCTTTCCATGGGCCAATACTAAAAAGAAAGGGTCATTTATTAAAATACTCTCTATAATTTTATTAATTTATTAAAACTTATCTTATAATTTGTATTTTATTAAAATATCTCTTACAATTTACAATCAATTTATTTAATCAACTTTTCATTAGATGAAAATAGAAAATGACAATTTTAATCCTAATATTCATTCAAATAAATTTAATCAAAAGAAATTAAAAACAAAAATGTCATTTTTGTCCCTAGTAAAACATGGGCAATCATTCTATTTTTTTTTATTTGGTCAATTTTGTTTCTATACAAAAAGTGTTACAGGTACTTTTGGAATAAACAATTATGGATCTAAAATCTTAAAATTTTTCACTCAGTTTAGGGGTACTTTTGGAATAAACAACCATGAGTCCATGCCCTTGAACATTTTTTAATTACTTTAGGTGATCATGTTCAGATGGCAAAACAAATAGTTCTTAAAATGAAAGGTCGATTAAATAAATAAGTTACAAATTATAAGGGGTATTTTAGTAAAATACATACTATATGATAAGTTTACATAAATCTATAAAATTATAGGAGGTGTTCCAATAAATGACCCAAAATGAAACTCCACAAGATGGATAGAAAAAGAGTGGATTGGCCACATAAGCCGCTGACATGGCAAAAAAACAAGGCCTTTTTTATTTCTAATTTCTAACTATACAAAAAACACTAATGCCAAAGTAAAATAATACCCTGCAGGTTTATTCCAACTTCACAGCCACTAGAGCAAAAGGCCAAAAGCACAAATGGGGGCTCATCCGACCGAATACTTAATACTGCTGGGAAAATGTAACTCTGACACGTAGCACAATTGCACACTACAGAACTACAAATCTTGGCCTCTCCTCCACGCAGACAAGAAGCAAAAATCCTCAATTTCAGTTTTCGATCATTAATTAATAGACAGCATTAAAACCTCAGTCGTTTGTTCATGTATAGTGAAATCAATTCTCTCTCTCTCTCTGTGAATAATTAATGTATCGCATTCAACAAAAAAGGTGGCCCCACATATTCACATACAAAGGGGAATGTATGCACCTAAATAAGATTATCTTATCAAGAAAAAAAAAAAAAAAAAGATTATAGGAATAGGCTCGGAGCCGACAAGGCACGTGACATAATTTCCAATATGGCCAAGTCAAAAAGTTAAGGTGGACACTTCAACAGTACTCTACACTGCACTAATAGGATGCTTTTTACTACTTTTACGGAGTGTAGTGTGTACTGAATCCTTTTGTTCCACGTAACTGAAACCCGATTTCTCCGCTTCACCTCCCCTCACTGGTCACTGCTACTGCTACTGCTGCATACAGGTACAGGAATCAAAATCTACGATTTTTAAGATTTTAAGATAAGAAATGAAATTCACAATTCACAAACAATACTTAAAAAAATGCTGATAATTCCAACTTGTCATCAGTTTTCCAACAATTAGGGCCCATTTGGTTTCATGGGAATAGGGGTCAGGAGTCGAAATCCGAATGGATCATTTTGATTCTAACTTTTTGATTGGGTAGAATCAGAATCTCACTTTCGTTCTTAGTGGAATGACCTTCCTCTATTTTCCTCTGAACGAATAGCCATTCCCTCTCCTTTCCTTGAAAATAAAATTCTCATTCCAATTGATTCTAATTTTCGATTTTGATTCCACACTACAAACCAAATGGGTCTTTAATGTTTCCCTTTCAGCCACAATCCAAAGCATCTGAATACCAAGGCAATTTCCAGGCTTCCAGCAAGATTAAACTAAGCTAAAGAAAAAGGACCCAATAGATTTCTCCAGCCCCTAATAAGTAATATCACCATTCACCCATTCCCACCCACCGTCCAATACAATTTCTTTTTTTTTTTTTCTAAAACAAAGAAAGAAGCATAAATTATAATTTATAACGAATGAAATGACTACAGAAGTGGACTTGTTAGATGATGTCCCCTCCCCATTCCCCCCATTTCATTTTCATCATTTAAAGCAGCGACCATTACTTAACCAAAGAAAGGTAAAATAAAGCAGAGGTCAGAACCTAACGGGAACCTACTAATGTTTTATATAAGTATATATACATACGGAGGAATGTTAAACAATGCCGACAGCCTAAGGGCCAAAGCAAGAAAGAGCGGCGACTGAAAGATTTAAAAATTGGCGAGGGGATAAGTGATATTGTGGAGAGGCTTCACAAGGTTACTTTGAAGATTTTGACTTTACAAAAAATATTTAGACTTTGTTTGGAAAGAGAGCAAATAGATTGTAAATACAAATATGTAGAATGCATTCTGATCCATGTAAAATGTAAAGTTGGTTTAGTTTTACCTTGATAAATTTATTTTTTTGTCAAACAATTTTTTGTCCTAATGGGTGCAAATGTGAGTCCTGGTGTTGAAATATTCCTTTAAGTGCAAAGTTTGCATCTGTTTTTTAGGCTCAGTTTGGAAAGAGTATAAATATAAATATATACAATACAAATATATACAAAATAATACAAAATACAAGGTTTTGCACTCTACATATTTGTATTTGTACTCCTTCCAAATTGAGCCTTATGTAGTGTTTGGTTGGAGTGGAATTTTATTTACACTAATACAAATGTATGGGAGTGCAAATTAAAAAGAATGCAAATTGTCGTTTCATTTTATTTGGGTGTTTTACTTTATTCTGTTTCATGTCTTAATTTACTTCATTTGCACTGCAATCATACAAAATAAGCTAAATTTTGAAACAAAAATCTGTCAGAATTTACACTCAAATCATTTGCACTGTCATAATTGTGCATCAGTACAAATTTATTTACTTTGCAACCAAATACAGCCTTAGATGCAAAATTTGCTCTCATTTTAGATGCAAATATGTCTTGAAATTTGTAAAAACCATCATTTTTAATACATAAATACATTCTACACCCATATCATAAGAGAGAAGGAAATTGTGCAGTTAACTGGTTAACCAACAAAGGTCAAGATTGAGAGGAGCTCATCCTAGACTTTAGGTTTTTTGTTTTCTTTTTCTTTTTTTTTTTAATTTTTGGATGCTGCTGATAGGGCTCGCCCTCGCTGGTGCTAATTATGTCCCAATCTATCAAAAAAAAAAATAACAATAATACATGCATTCTTACCAAACACGAGTACATGCATTGAGCACTCTTCCCAAATGAAGGCTTAAATACAACCATGCATTGTTTTTGAATTGCTATTGACCTGGACGGTCAGACTGTTTGGCCCAGGAACCATTCAGACAACTGGTTTTATTTTATCTCAAACCCGATTCTTGATCAAAACCGTTGAATTAATTAATGACTTGTTGACTCGGATGATCGAACCGTCGATCTATTCAACGATTTTTAATCATTTTTATTTTTAATTATTTTTTTTATTTTTTAAATTTTTACTGTCTGAATGAACCATCCATTCAAATGAGATGGTTGAACGGTCGACCCAGAAACCGGTGACAATAACAGTTCCGTTTCCGGGTATTTTTTAAAACCATGCAATCATGTGCCGTCCATTGAATGGATAGGCATAGCTTCTTTTTATTTCTTCTGCTTCCCCATACCCCATTATGCGTGGTGCGTGTACAAGAAGAACCCACCAAAGCTACCCGGCCAACATAAGCCAGCCTACAAGCTAAGCAAAGTAGCAAACCGCACATATATCACCAGCTCACCAACGCATTCGGCTCAAAATAAAAGAAACCCATTGATAGTAATGCTCGCCCAATTCCCATAGGCCCACGCACGAATAGTGTGGCCCATTACAGATGTGGATATTTGGATGAAGACATTGTCACGTTGAGACTTGACTTTGAGAGCTAGTGTAGCATGGAAGGTGATTTGAGTGATGGATAAGATTGGGATTTGGGATTCCATCATTTAATTGGTTTATTTATTATTTAAATTCTCTCTCATTTTATTTGGTGCGCCTGGTGGCGTTCGATGATGGTTGAGAGTTGAGACTAAAATTTTAAAATGAATGGGAAGCACGTGGAGGGGAGCGGCATTACATCTAATCACGTGATGTTATAAATAAATAATTTATGTATGAATTATCATTTGTATGAAAATATTAAATTTTTTTATAAAAATTTGAAAATACAATTAGAATTTTTTATTTAAAAATAAAAATAAACTAAGAACCAGTTTGGTTTGTGAGAATAGAGATCTGGATTTGAAATTAAAATTGGAATAACCCGTTTGGTTGAGTCGAATCAGAATCTCATTCATATTTCTGGCAGAATGGCATTCTCCATTTTAAATGCAAACCAAACGGACCCTAGGGATCCTAAAGTCGCTCAAGTCTATCAAGTTCACTAGAAAAGTTTTGACTCCTTCCCTCTATCGCTGTCTGTCACGACTCACGAATGCTTTGGCTTTTCAACGAGAGCCAGAAACGGCCCAACGGTTTCAAAACCCAAGACCACAATGCAATCTCTTTGGAAATAATTTGGCGGAATTAAAAATATAATTTGGTGGAATTGGAAATAATAATAACACACTATCTGATATCTTTCTTCTCTGTTTTCTCGTTTATCTTCTCTGTAAGTAAAATCGCAAATAATAAATTTATGTAAAAACCACTAAAAATATGAAAGGGAAACTAACTTGAAAAAACTGTCAATTCTAAATTCCGTTACATGGCTAAACACCTACTGCATCAGCATCCACTACAGAAAATATACACTCGAACCCAAACGGTTCGAACCGGATTGTCTTACTGTCTAAAGCTTCAGAAACTCTGGACCGCCGGAGCCAATCCGGATTCTGGCCCACCTATCATCATCTCTTTCTTCCGTCGCATCTCCAGAACCTTGCGGTGGTTGTTAGAGTGAACGTCGCTCGAGAACGTAGGGCTACAAGCCGGTCTATACTCCGGCAAGAGCCGACCGGACTTGTAACGAACCCCACAAGCGTTACAGAGGGTCTTGGCCCCCAGCGGACCGGTTCTCCACTGTGGGGTCTTCTGAACAAGACAATGGCTGCACCTGCGAGGCGGTTGGGGCCCACCCGTCTCTGTAACCGGCTTCTTCTTTTGCTTCTTCGCCGGCGGCTTTAAGGAATGGTCGAACAATTCCAGGTTTTGGCCGCTGTTGGTCAACATGAGACATGACGTCGAAGAGGACGACGAAGAGGAAGAAGATGATGACGACGAAGAAGAAGAAGACTCCCTGAGCAAAGGAGACACGAGGGACCAAACCCTTCCGCCGGTTCTCGCACGTTTGCTTCTCGCCTTGCATGGTACCGGCGTTTGGAAAACCGGGAATTTAAGTGGTGTTATTCCGGGTTCCGGTTCGGGCCGGTTCAACGTCTCACCTTGGGTTTTGTCCGTTGGATTTCCGGCTGGGCAAGGTAGCGGGAATCCTGAGAAAGAATCCTCCACGAAACGAGATAACCATTCGAGGCTCGCTAAATCATCCGTCTGAAATGAGTTCCTTCGACAAGTTAAAACTTTTATCCAGAAAAACGGAAAGAAAAGAGGGAAAGTAAAAAGAGAATGGTTCTATTATCGGTTATTTTAACGGGGAAACGGCTTACCGGAACGCTGAGTTCACTGCCGGGAACACACCCAAAATCGTCTTTCACAGAAAAAGCGATAGAGTTGCAGTTATCGTTTTCCCCTTGTTCTTGAGAAGAAACAGAGGCACAATCTTTCTCTTCTTCCTCTTCTTCTTCTTCTTCTACTTCCTCAAAAAGCCCCAGCCCCCCTCCAACATCCCCATTAGAGAAGTCAAAAAGGTCGTCCACAAAAAAATCATCCCCTGCAACACCATTTGCGCCATTAACATACCACTCATCATCCCAAGACACTTGTTGGTTCGATTTCAAAGCCATCTCCGGCAACAAACTGGTTTTCAACGCCCTCGCTTCGACACACTCCATTTCTGGTTTTACCTATAAACGAATAAAAAGAAAGTTCAACCTGAAACGGTTTGAAATAATATTCTCACAAGTTACTCTTCCTTAATACAATTAAAAGGGTACCTGGAAAGACGATGAAGGAGGGCAAGAGGAGACGAGGAGGGAAGAAGAAGAAATTACAGAGGACGAGGAGCAAGTCAAGGAAGGGTTGAATGAGAAGAAAAGAGGGAGATATTGGTACAGCATTGAATGAAGGCTGAAAGCGTCCACGGGCGAAACAGGTGCCCCCACAGTTCCTGGTTTATCTTTTAATAACAATTACTTCTTCATATATATATATATATATATATATATATATATTTCATATTTTCCCCCTTTTTAAACGTTATATACTTAACGATGTCATTGAAAATTACGGTAAACTGCCCCTGTTTTAAGACTAGTCACCAGCGACCACTCTCTGAGTCCTTGGTGCGTGAGGCTGCCCAGTTCCGACGGCATCCACAGTTATCTCCCTTTAAATTTTTGATGTTACTAAAACTTCCCCGGAAGTTTATTAATTGCAATTACGTCCTCTAAACTTGTTGACACATTTGTAAGTTAACCCTTCTATTACAATCTTCTAATAAGTTTTACAAAAATGTTCAAAACATTCATACTGGTTTTATAGAGAAAATAATAAAAAAAAAAGAGAACTTAAAATTGTAATTTTATCTTTGAGCAATTAATTTAAAGGGTAAATTTAAAAAATAAGTCAATTTCAGAGTTTGTGTTAGCGATAAAATTTGAATAATAAACATTTTCAAGTTTTAATCAAATAATAAAGCATAGATATTTTGGAATTTTTTAGGGGAGATATTTACAATTATGAAACTTCAAGGAAAGTTTCAGCAATTACCCAAAAAAAAGAGAGAGATTTGAATCTTCGTCCCACCAAAAAAACGGAATTCTCACGAAACCGCCACCTTTCTGTTTTACTTTTGTAATTCTTTTGGAAGACTGGCTCACTGGCCCCCACGTCTTGACTAATTTACAAGGTTACTATACCCGCTCTCTCACCTGCGATTACCTTTTCTTTCTTAATAATTCGTGATTGCCCACCAACACCGCGTGGATCGCCGCTCTTTCTGGCTGTTCTCCATATCCTTGCCCTCCCTTTCTTTCTTCGTATATCGATCCTACGTGAGACTGCCCTCCCATGGCCATTGGATTATCCAAAGGGCCCCACCTTAGATTTCCTACCGTCGCTCCGATTCAGTACTACCTTAATATTATAGTCCCAACATCCAAGTTTGGTACGAAAGTACCAAAATACCCTTTATAATGAACAAGGTTCACGAATCACGATTGGAGCAGGGCAATTGGAAAGATAGCAGCCTTCGAGTTTTAAAAGAAGAAAATAGAAGAGGAAAAAGTATACGGACCGGGGGGGGCCAGCTTTTGTCGCCAAGAAACACAACTGAAATGATTTTCTGATGTTTGAGTCCTGGGGTAAATTTGGATCGCTAAATTTGAACTAGGGGAAATCCAGATTCAGACGTCTCTCGGTCTCAGACTCTCAGTCCGGTCGGTGATTCCTAATATCCGTGCGAAATGGGGAGTTTCTTTGTCCTCCTCAAATGCTCATTATCGCCGGGGAGAAAAAATAAAAAAAAAAAAAAGAAAAGAAAAAATGCTGCGCCGAAAAAGTAAAAAGAAAAAGTCCGATACGCCAGTTTTACTTCTACCAGAAGCGGACGGGTTTACCCGGTAAAAAATAATCTGGATCGTTTTCGACCGGTCCCAGTGATTTGGTTCACTCCTTTCACGTGTAGGCAAATTAGTGGTTTGCGGTTCTCATGTCAATCCGTTGGCATGCGCCACTCAGTTGGACTATTGGAGGGTATTTTTTATGTCGTTTTCAATTTCAAATTTTCAAAAAAACAAAAGAATCAGAGAGAGAGAGAGAGAGAGGAGGGGGGGATGTGACGGGCATTGTATATTTGTTTTTGCCCTTGTGCTAACTGCTAAGCTAAGCAATCGATGGTACGGAATCCTAGGATTCCTTTCTTTATTTATTTTTGTTTTAAAGAGAGAGAATCTTTAAGAACCAACTACTGACACGAGAACAGACAGTGACGAGCGACTGAGCGAGTAGCTCGGAGCCTTGCTAGTAGTAAGTACTAGCTCATTGCTACTACCACGGAATTTGTTCACAGAATTTGATACATGCATCCACCAATAGAAGGATTGCTCATTATTAGAATTTGATTCCCTTCTTCCCCGTATATAGCATTCAATTCAAAGCCTAATTCTAAGTAAAAGAACCAATCGAGAAGTGGTTTAATTGGTTTGTTTTAGTATTGATGCAGAATCAAATCTTACAATCAACATATTGAGGAAAAAGGATCAAAGGGGAAGCTATTAGTGGTGCATGGCACGAATGATCGAGCCGTTTAGTCTAATAACCATTCAGGTATTCAGTTCTGTTTTATCTTTGAATTGTTCCCTGACAAAAGCCATTAACTTAGTTAATTATCTGTTGATCTAGGTAATCGAATCATTAATTCGTTTTATCTAAATAATAATATTTGACCATTTTTTTTATTATTTTTAAAATTAAAATAGGCCATCCATCCGGGCCGAAAGATCGAACTGCTGACTCAAAATGCAAGGGCGAAAGTGGTTCTGGTTCGAATTCTGGGTCGATTTTAAAAACATTGGTGGGAATTGAAAATGGATACGGAAGAAAAATCATTTAAAATAAATGTGATTGGGGTGGGTGACGAAGCGTGGTATATATGTGCTTTGTCTTTCACACAAATTGGGATTGAGGATGGGTCTGTTTTACAGAGACTTTTTAGTTTTTAAGTACAGAAATTAAAGGCGGATCTGGACTCTGACTCCGCGACTTTTTAACAGCTATCAAAGTTCTCAAGGATCGTCCTCATCTGTTGTTACTGTTTTATCACATAGAGCCTTTAGGTCATCATTTGGTTGATTATATGTTGGTCAAAATATTTTTTTGTTAGGATTGAAGTATGAGTATATAAGGTAACGAATCCACATTAAAAGAAGAAAAGAGATGCAGATTGATCTACAACCTAATTCCTTAAGTTTTTGGATTAAAGATTGATATCTAATTCTTGTGTGTATAAATTTCCCGATTTTTGCAACTCTATCCGGTTCATTCAATAATTTTTGTTTAGTACTCGTTGTGTGCTGTATGGTAATAATTAAATTAAATTTATTAATAATATATATATATAATCTAATTAATTTAGATACCTTGGCGGCATTGATATAGAGTTGTAGCAATGTTTTTTCTTTGGGTTGTGGGTTATCAATTCAATCATTCAGGTCAAATAGGTCAAACTGTGCTATATCATCATAAATTACCCTGCGAATAGTGATGAACAACTAATTGGTCACCTCTTTTATGATGCAAGTTGATTGGATGTAAGTTTTTCTAGTATCTATGTGTGTATGTATAATACATATTTTATTAATAAATAATGTATATAATATACTATACATTTAATATATGTATTATTACTTCTATTTTTAATTTTTTTATTTGTAAATATGTTAAATTTTGCATTTTGAGATCAAAAGATTTTCTTTTCATGAAAATAGTGGGATAAGGCACCTTGGGACACACAGGTCATGAAAGTTAACCAAAATCAAAAAAAAAAAAAAAAAAAATCCTAATCAAACATCCGAGCTTAAAGTTATGGACTTCGGAAGTTTGCATAAAGTATGCACCCACAACATGGTCATCAAGTCAAATGAATCAACAATTCAATTGCTTAGGTCATACGAATTTTGACTAACCATCGGGTTTTAAGAGAACTAGTCCCGAAATCATGGCCAATTGATGATTTGGACGATTCAACCAACTAGGTAAATAGTGGATTGAAAAGGTCAATGAAGCATAAGAAATATGAGATTTTTCAAAAATCACTAATTTCTAAGATTAGTGATTTCTCATAAATCAGAGAAATTGCTCATTTGATACCATGGTTGCCATGTCAGTCGATTTCTAAGAAACCAGTTAAGAATTTATTTGGTAGTGATCCGAGGTGTTCCGAACCGAGGATACAATCGGATAGTCTTGTCAACTAGATGGGGTTGAGGTGGAAAGTCGAAGCCACGCATCGATATTTGCAACCAAGAGAAAGGTCAAAGGCCCGAGGGGTTGTTTCCCGTGTAGGTACTCCGACGCTCAAGTCAATAGGGTAAAGAAGGATGCAGTCGGGATGAGCAATTTGAAATAGCAATGGTCCAAGCCAAAAAGATAGTGCAAAGAGGTATTCAGAGAGTGCAATTCTAGAAATCCCTTACCTCGAGCAGAGAATACCTATTTATAGTTGAGCGTCTGTGTCATAGATGGATAGGTCTTCCGAGGTTGTCGAAATGAGGGCGTCTGCCAGGGTCTTCAAGAGGTTTCTTCTTCTCCAGCTGAGCTCTCTTCTGTGTCCATGCAGGACACTCTTTCTTAGTCATATTCTTCCGTTACGTGTGCCATCAACGTGGCCTGAGAAGGGAGCGGCCGCAGAAATAGCCATGTGAAATCCTTGATCAGCTTAACCAAACAAATGAAACATAATAAATATGAGATTTTTCAAAAATCACTAATTTCTAAGATCAATGATTTCTCATAAATCAGAGAAATTGCTCATTTGATACCATTGTTACCATTGCCATGTCATCCAATTTCTAAGAAACCAGTTAAGAATTTATTTGATAGTGATTACCAGTAGTGATTTACGAAAACTATCTCTCTTATCCATATGAAAGTCCATATCATCCAAAAAAATCAAAATCAAACTGAAAAGATCTGCCAATCAAACAGAAAAATAATGGACGATTTTGAAATCGCTAATATGACTTTAACGTGGCACCGATTTCTCATAAATGAGCGTCGTTCTCAAACACTACCCAAAATTAAACACCCTCAGTGATTAGCGTTGTAACGCAATAAGGCATGCATGATGACTACGCTCATTAGAAGCTGATCACGTGATTGACGGTCGAAAAAAAAATGAAGGCTGGCAGAAAAAGGCGTCCAACGTTTGGATCCAAGCGCGCTTTCACTCCACATGGAAATTGTTGAGTCCAAAAGCCAAACATGCGCCATAATAAAAACAGTCGGGCAGGAATCAGGATGGCTTGTCGTCACTCGTCATCTCCTATGGAGGCCGGAGGACCGGAGAAAAGCATTTTTCCATATGCGTTGCTTTTTCCGTCCCCACTAACTGTTGGGACAATTCATTTGCACCACCAATAAGGCCGAGATTGCCTTCCTGCTTTTAGCTATT